CATATTTAAATTAGACCTTATAACTAAACTCAAATATTGTAACAATACACAAACCCTTAGCTTAGATTACCAACCCAGTGATGCTCTACCTGGGTTCACGCAGAGTTCTTGAAAGGGAGACATGAAGAAAATAAAGTAACTTTGTGCCCACATTACTATAGAGAAGTTGGCCCTTGTCACAACTTATCAGGTTGTTTGGGGTTTTAGATTTATGCTCATGATAGAGAAGAAGCAAATACCAGCCCAATGGCACATGCTCAGAGCAGAGACACCCAGAGTAGCATGTGGTCTCCACACTTCACTCACCTGCACCATAAACACAGCTCTGCAGGGAGCTAACACTACCAACCATTTGGCTTTGGGGACAGGTGGCAGGCACAGCCACCACCAAGCCCTGCCTACAGCCTGTCCTGCCTCCTAGCATGGATTTCTTTTGCCCAGACGTGGGGACAATCTGAACAGGCTGGAAGTAGACTGTTCACCTGGTGTTGGTGCTGCCTTCTAAAGATTCTGCATATTACACAGCTCTTATTGTTGGGGGGGGTGCGGCTGAGATCAGCTTTCCGGTGGTCAGTGGGACCAGCACAAATCACAGCTCCTTAAACATGGATCACGTCATCTTTCATGTTGTATTTCCCATCATTCTTTAGAAAGCCCTTTACAATCACGGATTTTATGACCATAGAATAATGTTCTCATTTCCTGCGAGTGCCACCAGGCTGGTCATCAGGAGTATCTGGGCACCTGCTTGCTGACAAAGACACAACCAAATTCTCACATCACAGGTGAGAATCAGTTCAATACTGAAGTCTTTCAGAGAAGATTTAATCACTGTTCTGATGCCCCATTTCGATATTTAAAACATCAATAGAAAGGTTTTTGGAACCTAAGTTACATCTCTCATGCTTTAAAAGTTTCTTTTTTCTTTCCTATTTTTAAAAATAAAGAATGAGAATTTTTCAAGTTAATACATTGACTGCTTGAAAACCATTAAGTTGTCCTAAACAATCTGGTTTCATCTCACAGTGAGGTCTAGAAATCACATTTTACACTCTCTGTTTTAAAAAGTAATAGGTTAGATATATCCTCATCTTCCTCGCTTCTTTTGTTATCAATCATACTTCCCTTCCCTCTCCCTTATTAACCTATCCTTCTTTTCTGGAAAGTTCAAGTCATAGAGCAATGTCCCTAAGACCTAGTTCTTCTTTTGTTTTTATTAAAAATAATTTTCATCCCACCTTAGCAGATTCCCATGGTATCATTACTAGGGATCCTTAAATTACTCATTTCCATACCCCATATTGACTGTATTTTTCAAATCCATATTTGATCGATTTTTCTTAGTAGGCATCTGAAAGACAGTTTTTAGTATGTCTGGTATGTAGTTTGTACTAAAATCAAGAGTGTTAAAAAGTCTAAAATCTATCACCAAATTAAACCAACAGAAAAGCATCAGGTTCCCTGCTCAGCGGGGGCCTGCTTCTCCCTCTCCCATTCCCCCTTCTTGTGTGTTCTCTCTGGCTGTCTCTCTGTCAAATAAATAAATAAAATCTTAAAAAAAAAAAAAAGAAACGTGCAAAGGGTCACCAAAAAAACCCACCATATCTTTAATTTGGCAAAATGAGTCCCTTTTCCATGGACACTGGTTCAGTTACCGAAGGCAGTTTTCCTGTGTCTCAACTTTTTAATTATTTCTAATCCAAATGAGACATGCCCAGTTTCTTCTTTTGCTCCTTCTATGATTTTTTAGAATCTTCACCTTTTCTGGGGCTCTGGCAGGATTTTTTGTACATTATCCTCCTTAAAATGTGTTCATAGTTAAAGATAGCATCTCAGCGAGGGGCCCACAAGACAAGAGCCCATGATGATTTCTTCTGTCTGAAAATCACTTTTTCTGTTGGCTTAGATGGTGCCTATTTGTTGAGCAATTCTCTCATGAAACTCATTTATATTGAGCTGACCCATTCAGATCTTTCCCTCAAAAATTCTTTTAAAGCCAGTTCTTTTTTACCCTTAAAATTGAAATCAGTTAAGTTCATTAAAAGGGACACACTTAAAAATCCTTAAAAGGAGAATTTTCTATGTATGCTGATGGAATTTCATCTTATTTGTATTGATATATCTTCTCAGACTTTTGAGATATTTGTGAATCTTGGTGGGGGTGGGGAAGGTAATGGCAGTGAAGAAACAAAATTAGTCATGTGATGCAAGTGATTGAAATTAAATGACAGGTACACAGGGGCTCATTTTACCATCCTGTCCATTTTTGCATATGCTTGAAGTTTTCCAAAATAAAAAGTAAAAAAATAAAAATAAAAAATTACCCCCACATTATCTTTTTGCGTATACTTAGCCTTAGCCATCATATTTAACAATACAGCAGAAAATTTGCTCAGTGTTTTGCTAAAATGGACATACATTCTTTCAAAAACATTTTTGTCAGTTAATTGGTAAATTTTTAGAATTCCTTAAAAATTAGAATTCAGCATTAAAAAGCTAACTGAAAAAGAAAGTTTAACAGTTATCAAAATCTCTGTAAGTTTTGCTTCTGATTTTGGCCATCACTTTGTACTACAGAACAGCATTCCCCTGTTATTTTATTGCTGCCATAGCATTAAAATGGTACATTTGTGTATCTTTTGGGACCTTAGTTATTAGCCAAGCTGAGTCAAAGGTTAGAGAACCCAGGGCATCCATCTATAAGGAGAGCTAAATGTCACTAAGTCAAAGATATCAACAGGGATATAAAAAGCCAAAGAAATCATATTTACTAGAATTCCTCTAGGGAAAAGCAGTCAGAAGATTTACTTTGTTAAGACTCTGGGGATGAGTGCAGAGGCTTCCAAGACTCATGCTCAGGTTCTGATAGGAATCTCTAACCTGATTCTCAGGAGAATGGGTTGAGGAAAGGTACGGCATGTGCTTGCAGACTGAGTGCTAGGTGCATCTGGGATCAGAACTGAATTACTCAGAAGGGTTCCACACAGCTAGGAGCATGCCTCCTTTTCAGCCCCACCACCAAGAACATATAACCTTTCTCTTTAATAAATGTCAAACAAATATTTTTAAACCATAAGTTTAAAGGGGCAACAAATTATTAGCTGGGTCTCAGGAGTTAATTTGCAAAAAATTAAAATTCTATCCACCTTGTTTGAAAGTGAAAGAACACTTAACTAGGTGATTTTTGCCAAATTTTGCTTCGGGAATTATAATGTTCTGGGATCAGACTCAGATTGTCTGATGTTCAAAGATTTAGGAGGGGAAAATGCACAACAAAAAAGAAGTGAAATGTCGAGGGAAAGGTACTGAGCCACAGCTCAGGAACACCACCAGACTCCTGCAAGGCACAGACAGACTCTGCCTGGGGCGGGGAGGGGCTTCACCAACCCCACGGGGCCAAAGTAGCGACAAGGACTGTTTTCCATTATTTTCTGTGAGCACTGTAGACACAATCGCTGTTGATACAGAGAACATCAAATTCAGCTAACCAGCTCTAGGTTAAGAGAAGGTCAAAAATAGTCATGACAGTGGTTAGAAATGTTTAGTGAGGGTTTTGTTTTGTTTTGTTGTATCTTGCAGGAGGCAGAAATGTGAAAGATGTGACCTTGATAGACCTCCACATCTCTCCCATCAGGCTGTGGAAAATTAGAGTCTCCTCTTGTTAAATAGGAAAGGTTAGCATTTAATAGTTAATGAAGGCAAGGGAATCTGAACAGATAAGAGCCGAGTCTCCACAGGCTGCATTTGGACAATCCCCAATCCTCTTATCTCTTCTCAGAAAGTCTGCTGTTTGTAAGATATTGTTTTAAGCAGAGGGAGGACAGGGACCACAGCATATACAAGGAGAACCGCGATTCTTTCGAGAAAGAATGCTAAAGTAGAATATATGAAGTACTGTGCTGCAATGTTACCTGATGCTACAACAATGTAGTATACTTTTTGGTCCTGGATTCAATACACTAATTTCCTGGCAGCTAAATGTTAAAATATTTACAATATTGTGGACATATTATAAGATGCCTGCCTTCCTTCAGTGCGTGCACTGTTCTGTAATCTACGTTGTTTATACCCAAGTGGCTCAGAGTACTCACATGGGGAAATGTTCTGAGCTGAGTGAACCCCAAGAGGGAATGGAGAGGGGGTTCAGCTTTCTTTCTTTGAGGCAATCAGCTAACATGGCTTTGGGCTCCGGGTTATTTAAGGACAGATAGTAAAAAAGAAGTGTCTTGCCCCAATTGAACACTCACCCTACCTTTTATGTCTCACTTAGGGCAAATCTAGCCCAACCTCCCCAACCCTAGAAAGTCCCATCAACACAGGTCACAATTAATTCTTTCCATGGAAGCTTTATCCATCCTTCCCGGACAACATCTTCCAGTCACTGGAGACTGATGTAACAAATGCCTCCTGCCCCTGCTGTTTTGGTGACTGTCCAGAATGTAAGCTCCTCTCCCTCTGTCTTCTTCCTACTTTTGACTCCCAAACATGTCTGTGATTTTTTCCTATTACTCAACTTTTCCTTTCACACCGCCTCCCTCGGCTTTTCTTTGGTGCCTATTCTTATCGTATATCCACAGCTCCCTCTGCCTTAGGCTCCTTTCCTGAACGAATATTCTCTCTGCATTCTTGCCTTCCCTGATGCCTGACTCACCCTGATAACATTGCTTCCTTCAAGTGGGGGTGACCCAGTTCCCTAACTCCAGGACCTTGGGCAGCATGCTTCTCAACCTCCAAGCTCCTTCTACATCATGAGTCCTCCCCTCTCAGGTAAAAATTCTTGCTCTTTTGAGACTTGGAACGTCCAGCTAAATCACCATCTCTCATCTCATTCTTCTACCAAATTCTTAGGTCTCCCCCTTGTTCTTTGGAAGACCAGGCGTACAACTCATTCTCCTCCCCAAGCTTCCTCTCCATCGCGAGTTACTCTCCTGTTCACATGGATCACCCACGTAACACCCTGAGTCATCAATGCGTGACTCTAAAATCCCATCTTGGTCGCTTCAATGGGCTTTGACTTCTTGCAGAATTCTCTGCTGTCTTCCTATCTCTGATGTGAATTTCCTGTAAGTTCCTACTTCATCCTTATGGATCTCTGTGGTCCAGTCAGCGTCAACTCCATCCTAAGGAAAGAGAGAGTGAGGTTTCTTAAGAAAAAAATTTTTAAAGCAGTTTTAGGCCTCCCCCATTATTAACATCACCAGAATGATCTATTTTCAAACAAGGATGAACCTACATTGACACATCATAAACAGCCAAAGCCCATTGTTTACCTTAGGGATCACTCCTGGTATTGTACATTCTTTGGGTTTGGACAAACATAATGACACATATCCATCATTACAATATCAGAGTATTTCACTGCCCTAAAGGACCTCTGTGACCTGCCTGTTCATCTCTCCCCCCAACACTGAAACTGTTGTAATTCTTGTAGGAGATTCCACTCTGTGATATGTGAATTTAAGCAACTTCCTTCTCCTTTTGATGCTTTTCTTCAGTGTGAAATGGAATAGTTATCACTATAGCCCAAAGTGTTGGTTAAAGTACTCTGACTCTAGGGTAAAGTTAGCCTGAAAAGCAATTTCAAAATTTTATTTGTAGAGCCAACGAATGAATGCCTCTCATTCATTTTACAGGAATGAATCCTAAAATCTACTTTCTGCATAATTTGATGTATTATAATAGTCTTAAAAATTAAAGTGAGTGTATATTGCTATGTAAGAATTCTGTGTTTCAACTCTATGACTGAAGTTAAAGTGTTTCTCCTGCATTTGCTGAACAAACTACACCCTATTCTCCTTTTAGATACCTAGAATAAAATAGACATCATTGAATTATAATAATATCTTCTCCATTATTAACAATTTAATGGTCAAGATTGATAGTTTTTTTTTTCCAGATGAATGGGCTTCAATTTGCTTGCAACACTTTAGGAATGATAATAACAGTCCCTTTGCTAACCATCATACCTTGCTATAACTCCAAGGATTATGTCCATTTTGAATACGAATAAATGAAGAGAAAATGAGAAACCAAAGCTCACACAATAACTTTTAAAAACAGGGACATCAGCACCTAAACCCTGAACATCACTGCTTACAAGAAGTCAGGTTAAAAAAAACCCAAATGCTATTCCCAATATGTTTTGAGCTCTTGTGTTTCCTCCCCTATGCCTACCAAGTCCCTACCCATTCTTCAAGTCCCACTAACTTGACTGATAATACGTAGACAGTTCCCAGCTGGAGAATGACTTTTGGGGGTTGGGATGGGCCTGTATTTAGGAAAGAAGAGGTGAGGTCATGGTTGACCTTCCAGTGATGTATGGAATGAACTACCTGGAGAGGCACGTATGTTATAAACAGTCGGGAGATTCTGAATGGGAGCCATCTCATGAAACATAGAAGGAACTGGCAAACATGCCAGATAGACTGATAAACAGGGAAGGTGAAGTCATCTTACCAGGAAAGAGGAAGTTAGGGTGACAGATAAGCACAGACTACTGACTTGAAAGCATGTTTTTGCATGGCAGGAAAGTTGGGGAAGAGAAACGCCATCCTATTTCATCTTATTTGTTTTGTAAGCCTAAAGCACTCAAATAAGCAATTGTTAATTTAATCAAATGATTTAGATTTATGTAACTGCATGGTATGCATCAGAATACAATGTGACTAGTAGCATTTCTCATTTAAACAAAACATGTCATCCTTATTTCAATGCTGCAGTTGTTAAGGAACATTGGCAATCTTAAATTAGAACTCAGAGTCACTCATAGAAGAGCTGTAACACATCATTGTCTGCCTCTAAACTCTCCGACGCCAAATCCCCCACCTTACTTCTAGAGTTATTTTTCTAAAATACAGATGAGCTAGAGTAACTTTCCCCCAAAAGCCTGCAGGGGCTTCCCACTGTCTTGTAAGTAAATTCTAGCACCATATTCCAAATTCTCCATGACGTAATGCCTTTCTGCCTCTCCTGGTTCAACACCCAGAGCTTCTCTGAATTAATCATTAACCTCCTTCGAAAGCTTTGCTCAGGCTGCTCTTCCGCAGCTTATTTTGTCCTTCTCCCTTTCTCCACACTTGAAGATCCTTTACTCCTTACTGTATTACTAGGTATCCTCTCTATGAATCCTCTATTAATATCCTATCTTAAAGCGCCCTGTTTCTCCATGGAACCCCCAAGCTCTGTCACACTCAGCTGCTACATAGCACCCTGTGGATAGCTAGCTGAAGTCTGTCTGATCTCCACTGCATCAGCTTGTTTAATACTTTCTTGAATTTCCTACGTGCAGAGGTTCTCAAATTTTAGCAAGCATCAGAATTACCTGGGGGTCTGGTTAAAACACAGACTGCTAGATCCCACCTCAGGGTTTTGGACTCAGTAATTCTGGGGAGGGGCCCAAGAATCTACACTTCTAACAAGTTCCCAAGAGCTGTTCCTGCTGCGGCTGCACAGATAACCCTGGGCTCTCGGGTCCTAGCACAATACCTTAGACCTAGCAGGCTCACCAACCTCTTGCTGGATAATGGCATAGGTGATATAGCCCTACTTATTGATTGAAAATTTAAAAGGAGCTTTAGTAAAGCTTTTAGCAGTGTGTCTAAAGATACAAATACAATGGTTTTATTTAACAGTATGTAGAAAGTGGAATTGATATGATCAATGGAAGCTGGCAAATTTCACTTAAGTGTCATCCAAGCAGTTCCGCTATATATGTGACCCTTGAAAGTATGGGATAGAGCACAGGGTGAATGAAGATTTACCTATAGGCAACTGAACTGCATAACTTCCTCAATCTAGGTAGTCCCCACTTTACTAACAAGGGAATGGGAGCTCAGAAAGGTTACATAGCCACGACATAGCCGAACTGGAGCTCCAGCCGGCCTTTGGTCACTCCTGCTCACCTGCTACACTTCTGGATCCTCTGCAGACAGAGCAATACCTTCTGTGGAATTAAGTAACAGGTACTGAGAAAATATTAAGTTCAAGCCCAAGACAACAACCCAAAAATCCCAATTAACTTTGAGTGAGTTGTAATGAGTAGGTGACAGCAAATACGTGACAGTAAGCACGTGTTGTCTGTAGCCCAGTATTCCCTGGACTCTATTCATTTCATGCCTCTGTAGCCGTGACATGGAATGTTGGCCTCTGTTTCTGCCTGGCCAAGACCTAAGGCTCTCTCTCTCCCTCTCTCTCTCTCCCCCCTTTCTCCCTCTCTCTCTCTCTCTCCCCCCTCTCTCTTTATCTCCCCCCCGCCCCTTTCAATGTACGGACAGCGCTTCTCTTTGGAGGAATGAGAGAGATTAGAGCTGCGCCACCTAGAGGTCAGAATAAGTCATTGAAACTGATAAATTGGAGAATAAATTGATACCTGGACGTAAGGAGCAAAGTTTTCTGACAAAATTACGAATTTCTAAACATCTTTTATCTGCTCTCGGAGATTAAAAAAAAACAGATCTAAGCCTCCTTTGTGACAATCAAATGGGTTACTCCTAGGTCCAGACAACCTCCTGGGGTGGAGATTAGTGTAGGGCAGAGGTAGACTGCTGTCCCTGGACCAAGGGCATCAGCGTCACCTGGGAACGTGTAAGAAACGCGAGCTCACAGGCTCTACACCAACAATGTATTGAACCAGAAAGTCTGGGTTTGATGCCCTGAAATCTGTATCTTAACAAGCCCTCCAGGTAATTTTAATGTAGACTAAAGTTTAAGAACTACTGCTAGTGTTCAGTTATTCATAAATTAGGCATCCACAAAACTATAATTCTCTTTTCAGTGACTGCCATCAAATCATACACAAGTAGTACTTTAGGCTAAATTCTGTCAATGTTACAAAGTGGTTTTTGACATCAAAGTGCCATAATTTTTGGAGAGGCTTTAGGAGAATGCAAGCGCTTGGGGTTTTAAACTTATGTTTCTGTTATTTTAAAATTTTGTATTTAATGTGTATTTGAGCACAAACATTTAAATCATAGTGTGGGAAAGTTCTGTGCTAAAGAAGTTCAGAGTTGAACGGTCACTTGAAATATGATGAGAGCTAATCCTTATTTTGGAGTTGAAAAAGAGGCTTAGGGAGTTGACGTATCTCCCTAGGATCCTAAAGCCCTCCTAATCCTATCATCTACACTCAGCCTTCCATGAGGTACCCCACTGCCACTGGGTTTGTGCATCAAAAAGGAGCGATAAATAATGATAATCATAAGTAAATAGTGTCTTTTCTTTACCTTGGTCATCCTTACCATACCTCTATGAAAGAATACGTAGATATAGTATTTCCATCCAGTAATTTATAGTATCTCGCTACGTGTGTAATTTTTATTCAGTTTTATAAATGAACTATTCTTTGAGACTCTGAGAACATTTAAGAACCCTATTCTTGAAATACTCTCCTTACCCAATACACACCACATGAATCTGTGTCCAGTTGCGGAATTCCCCCTTGAACTGCCCCCCACCCCCCCGCCATGAACCGTCAGGAGCTCCATAGAAGCCAAGTTAAGAATTTCTGCTTAAAGAAGTTCATTTAACACCAAGATAAAGAAACAGCCTTTTCAAATTTTCCCTCTCAGCTAAAGACTTTCTTTAGAAAACTTTTTTGCTCCTCCATGAATCCCATATAAATAATTGCCACCTCGTTTCCCTCACCTTTCCCTCCAATGCCCCAAACTCAGCCCTGCATTTGGAGATGACCAGGGGAAGCAACTAAGAGGCAGATCTTCCAGTTTGCCTTCTGTAGACATTCCATCTCCTTCTCCACGAAGACACCTGCCTTGCCACACTGCGCTGGCATCACTAGTATTAGTGGGGAATGGCGGCAAGATCTGGAACCATTTTTAATACACCTGTGGTACCAGAGATAAGGAGAACATGCATCTCCCTGTTGCGTGCTGGACATACAGATGCAGTAGAAATTGTATGCACATTTGGAAAGCTTGCTTATTTTAAGATTTTGTTCAGACATGAATCACTTGAGCTTCTCTTTCTCACTGGCTTTCTCCTTTGAGGCTCTGTCTCTCAGAATGATAAAAGCTCCAACTAGCAGCCACAGAGAGCAGATTGATTTAAAATTTTTTTCTAGTAAAGAAGCTCATCCAGTGAAAGTGCCAAAGGACATGTCATAACAGATTTGCAGTTTGCACAATAAATAAAGGGCCGAAGAAGCCCCAAGGGAGGGTTTGAGGTGAGCACAGAGAATGCCTGGAGTGATGAGAACGCAGGGGACACAGGGTGGACACCAAGAGAATAGGGACCATGCCGACAATCTCTGTGATGCACATGGACTTTTGAGTACAGATATCATGTGATGAGGAGGCCCCGGGTGAAAAGGTGAAGATGTTACTCACGTGTCATTACTCCAGAATTCATTACCATAGATGGATTGATTGGTCACATAAACCACAAACAAAATCTAAAAGATTCTTCATGGATCCAGATATGCGAATTGGAGTGGATCGGACAGTTAAACGCAGGGGGCCAAGCTGACTGGAGCAGGGCTGGGAGAAGCACATCAGGTGGGTCACACCTGTGGTCGGGCTAAATGACAGTGGCAAGAGGACTTAGGAGGTCCGATGAGTGGGTAGGAGTCCATAATTCAGATCTATATTAAATTTTTTCTTACTATGTTTCCCAATTCTCTGAAATATTTTTCAAGAAGGGTCCTTACTAGCTAGGTCAAAAAAAAAAAAAATCTGGCCCTATTTGAAATCCTTTTATGAAATGCTCGAAATGACTTGGCCGATAATGAATGACTATATAAGATGGAATTGTAAATAAACAGTTAATGGTTTTAAATACTAAATTATTTTAAAATCTTATTTAAAGTTATTAGATCATTTTTCAAAAAGGTCTCCTTTTAAATTGAGCCATCACCTAGTAAAATGTCACAGGTTCCCTAATCGATAAGCTGTAATACGTGCGTTTGAAGTAACGACGTATAGCTAATGTGTTCATTATTCATGACAATTGTACACGCACCATTTTAATCTTCATTATCCTCCACAGACATTAGCTAATTTATCTGCAGTAGGGCTCCTGAGTAGTGCACTGCTATTTCTGTTGGGCAGGCAGAGGAATTAATGCAAGGTGAAAGGCCTTGATTCTCCAAGGTCCCATTTCTGAACACTGATGCAGCGGAATATTGAAGACAAATTGTTGACTGGAAGCAAACAGAAAGATAAAATGCTTGCCAGTTTGATTGGAAAGTGTTGCTGGTGTTTACTTACCCTAGAAGGCTTAAATGAAGCAGGGATCTAGAAACAGTTAAGAGCCCCATATGCATTTCCACTTTAATGCTCCAATTACAATGTCAGACTCTATGACTTGTGAATGGCACCAAGGAGTTCCCTATATCCTTCCCTCTAGGGAGATTGAGGCAACTTGGTTTTCTTAGAGCTCCCTGTTCTTTCTACCTCAAAAAGGTCACCTCGTCAAAGTGAGCATTTTCACAATCAGGCAAGTTTGCAATGCTGTCTCTCTTTGGCAAACACTTTTAGTCATTCTTTCCCCCATTGCGTGTGAATCTCTCTTTCTCTCTTTTTTAAGAATTTGTTTATTTATTTGAGAGAGAGAGAGAACATAAGCTAGGGAGAGGGGCAGAGGGAGAAGCAGACTCCCCACTGAGCAGGGAGCCCAACGCAGGGCTCGGTCCCAGGCCCCTGGGATCATGACCTGAGCCGGAGGCAGATGCTTAACCAACTGAGTCACCTAGGAGCCCCTTTTGTGTGAATCTCTTCTGGTCAAATGCATTCATGACCATGGGAGAAGAGCTGGCTAGCTTCCTACCTTCCTATCTATCTTTATTACCCTTTCTTGGTGACTTTTTTTTCTACATTTTTATGTGGCTTGCCTAAAAGTGGCATCAATGAAATTAACCAAAAGTTGATTTGGGAGGATCTGGTAGAGCCATAGATAGGATACTAGGATTGCATAATTCCTGATTCCCCATAGACCTAAAATCTTTCTTTTGGAGTTTTCTTCTACTGGCTAATCCAGCTTTAGAGTATAGGGTCTTCAGTAGGTTGTGGAGGTTTGCATGTTCCACCAGTTACTAATCATGTAACATTGGACACTTTGGAAGGTTGTTTTGTTTCTTTTTTTTTTTTTTTTAAGATTTTATTTATTTATTTAGGAGAGAGAGAGAAAGAGGGAGAGGGAGCACGAGCAGGGGGAGGGGCAGAGGGAGAAGCAGGCTCCCCACTGAGCAGGGAGTCCAATGTGATGCAATGCAAGGCTCGATCTCCAGCCTCTGGGATCATGACCTGAGCAGAGAGCAGACACTTAATGGACTGAGCCACCCACCCAGGAGCCCCTGTTTTGTTTCTTTTAACTTTAGTTTCCTCATCTAGAAAATGGGAGTAATCCAAGCAATGCCCTTAAATAATGCCTAGCTCATACCAAGCTTAAGAAAAATTGTGAAGTATTTTTGTTATTTCACAGCACCAAAATTTGATAATTAAATGTGTTAAACTGAATCTTTTTATTAAGCTAATGGATTCCTTTTAAATTTGGGGGGGAAGGTTCATAATTTGTTTTATTTTCTACTCCTAGAGAGAAAATATAACTTTCCCTTAGAACATAAATGGCCGGCCTATGGTTCCCTAGAACTATCTGAGTTTCGTTACCCAGGGCAAACCAGCATCTCTCCAGCTTTTTCCATTCTGCCTCTCCTTACTTCCTTTTCTGAAATTCCCCCTCAATAAACGGACACTTCCGGGTGCCTGGATGGCTCAGTCGGTTAAGTGTCTACCTTCGGCTCAGGTCATGATCTCAGGGTCCTGGGATCGAGCACCACGTCGGGCTCCCTGCTTGGCAGGGAGCCTGCTTCTCCTTATCCCTCTGCCTGCAGCTCCCCCAGCTTGTATGTTCTCTCTCTCTCTCTCTTTCTGTCAAATAAATAAATAAAATCTTAAGAAAGAAAGAAAAGAAAAAAGGACACTTCATTACCTCCTTTCCCCCAATCTTTCAAAGTCATCCTTCTGGCTGACCTGGACTTGTCACCATGCTCTTTCCACCATTTCTGTATCATCCACATAATTTCTGGAAGCCAGACGTAGATAAAAATGGGGCAGGTCTCTCCACAGGAGATCGTAACAATGATTGGAAGAGGAGGGCACCAAGGAGGGAGCAGTTCATCTTGATCCTGGCAGCAGAGAGATCTTTAAAAGATGAGTGTCTTAAATTTACCTTAATTTTCCTTGGCTTTTCTTTTTTCCTCTTAGAAGCAGCTCTTGTCTGAGTTATTTCTCTTGAGATGGTGTCAGCAGAGAGAGGCACAGCAGTGACGAAACCTTTATTAACTCTGGCACAGCCCTGTCCACAGGGGAGAAAATTCTTTCAAAGCTCAGAAGCAGTAGATGGTTGGAAAATGTGGAGCTGAGAGACCGGGAGGGGAGGAAAGGTGGGCAGAGGGTACCGACAGGCTGCCAGGAAGGAAAGTGCTCTCATGTGAGAGTGGATCTTTCAGGGCTGTGCCAACAGAACCAGGGGCCTTGTCCTATTTACAAGTTCTGTTTGCTCTCCTGGGACAAGCTGATGGAGGAACCTATTGGAAAATCTTTTGTATTTCCTTTCATTCCAAAACAGCACCTAGAAATCAACATTGTTTTCTAGATTTCAGAGCAATGAAAGGTTGTATATTAGATAAACTGGATGCCTCACAGTCTGATACCCCAAAGTTGCACCATATAAAAGAAAAGCCTGGAGTAAATGGCTGTTTGAGGAAAGTTGGTTGTTTTGGGAATGGATTCTGTTTGGGTGAACATTTTGGCAATATCATTTGAATAAAATATATTGTTTAACACCTATAAAAGTTTCCTTAGATGTGTGTACAAATGTGAAAGCCTGCATGGAAGTTGCCTATAGTTCTGACATATTTTTCCCTGTATCAGTCTTTGTGATAGAAAAAGACAGTGCTTGAAAAATAACTAACCTCATAAAACATTCCAAAAATATTTACGAAATTAAGTCAACTTTTGCAAATTCTCTGATGATCATGACTGGCTTTCTTCTCTCTTACGGTAAATCAGGCCATGGTTGAGATTTTGGTCTGACGTGGGGACATTTGGTGTCTCTCTTCTTTCAAGATTCTGTCTTGATTCTTTCAAAGGCAGAAAATAATTTATTTAGTTTGACATTGCTTCCCAAATGGCTATATTTACTCCATAATATCACTATAAAAATTTTCCCTTCCTCTTATTCTTTTTTTTTTTAAATATTTTATTTATTTATTTTGACAGAGAGAGAGAGACAGAGAGAGAGGGAACACAAGCAGGGGGGAATGGAAGAGGGAGAAGCAGGCTTCCTGCTGAGCAGAGAGCGCAATGCGGGGCTCGATCCCAGGACCCTGGGATCATGACCTGAGCCAAAGGCAGACGCTTAACAACTGAGCCACCCAGGTGCCCCTCTTATTCTTTTTATACACGTTAAGGGTCACTTTCTTCTATGGGAAAACTTAACACCATGTATAGTCCCAAACCAGCTACAGTAAATCTGAAACCCAACACTTACATTGTTTCATCTAAGACCACCAACTTCTTACCACTCCTCCTGGTGACCCATTCTACTTAATGTTTTACCCCCCAAGGAAACTTAAAAGTATATAAGCTAAGGTCTGATCTTATTTTAGGGCCTTAGGTTAATTTATTCATTTTCCTAAGATATTGTATAATAAGAAGTCCACTTCTACCTCCTTCCGTCTTTCTCAGAATGTCCAAGAAAGAAGTGGAAGCCAAAAGCTTAATCAAATCTTGACCAGGTTGTAATTTAAAGCTTTGGCTGAGTCTGGGTACACATTGGAAGGCAGGCACAGTGGAGTTTACTGTAAGGGCTGGGGAATTATGGCTGAATTATTTTCCATAAAAATACTCAAGGAAGTTCATCTCTGTGTTCATAAGAGGAAGAATACAGAGAAGCTTGGTAGGTGAGGCTGGGAGCATGGAGGCAAGACAAATGACTTGTAAGAACAGAAATGTCTAATGTTCAACTCCAGATTCCTAGTGGTGAGGCAAAGTAAACCATGTCCTTTTCTTTAACATCTCTACAAACCTTCAATAAAGTCTGCTACCCCCATAGGAGCTCTTTTACGTATAGAAATCAAAGGAAGAAACTGGGCTCAACATTGGGGTTAGTGTGGACTAAGAAAAACCGATTCATCAGGACCAGGAAGCTGGAACCAAGAGTATCCATGAAAGTGTAAGTCCCAGAGGGAGTTACAAAATCTTAAGAAAGGCAATGGCTATTTTCTGGGTTGTGGCATTGGAATTGGAATCAATCTCATCATGAACTTAATGGGGCAGCATGACCCCAGATAGTAGCTGATTATGAGTCTGAGGCCCTGACTTGTTTTGAAACCCGGCTCAGCCACACACAAGCTAGTTAATATAAAGAAAGTACAGCTTGGTTTCCTCATCAAGAAAATGGGAATAAGGGTGCCTGGGTGGCTCAGGCGTTAAGCAGCTGCCTTCGGCTTAGGTCATGATCCTAGAGTCCTGGGATCGAGTCCTACATTGGGCTCCCTGCTCAACGGGAAGCCTGCTTCTCCCTCTCCCACTCCCCCTGCTTGTGTTCCTGCTCTTGCTGTCTCTGTCTCTGTCAAATAAATAAATAAAATCTTTAAAAGAAAAAAAAAGAAAATGGGAATAATATTTTTGTAATAAACAATTCAGGGTCACCAATGGATATTAAAATAGGTGAAACATTGTTGAGGAAAGGGATATTCTCAGAGTATCACCCTCATGTTACCTTCAAATTATAAGAGAAAATGTGTTTTTACAATTGAGAAATTATAAGTGATCTTGTAATTGAGACATTTCCAAGATGTCAAACATAATAGCACTAATAAAGAGAGTAATAATGGTACACAGATTTTATGGATGAGCATCCTTGTTTTTGGGAGATGCATGCTGAAGTATTTAGAGGTGGGGTCTTATGATGTCTCTAAGTCCTTTAAAATGTATCATTATGTCTGTATACTTATATAATAAATATAAACATATATTACATGCCACATACACATGCACACATACATAATGTATGTACATTATATATACACACATAAATATATGTCTCATGATGTGCCTTTCTTTCCATCTGTATCTAATATATTATAGATATATATGTCATCTTATCTATATATAATACAGATAAGTATAGAGAGACAGAAGAGTATGCAAATGGGACAAAATGTTAACAATCAGTGAATGTAAGTGAAGCGTATATAAGTGTTTATTGTAGTATTCTTTCAAATTTTTCAAAATAAAATGTTTACCATGTAGTTAGAGTAGAATACCTAGCATCACATCAGGCACCATGTCTATGCTTGTTTTGGGTTGATCACCTTTTCCTCTTTCTTCCTTTTTCCTCTACTAGACTTGTTCACTTTCCCCCAGTCATGAGATGCTCTCATTACAGTTAAATATACCTCGGGTCCAGTTACATTGCCCTAAAAAAAAAAAAAAAAAGTAGCTTCTGAAAAAGCATAAAGCACGAGAAGGGTAGAATATTGTCAAAATACCAAGAGTGGCAATAATTGACGGCTCTGCAAGACTGTTCTGTTCTCCAAAAGGGGCATTCCATGGCATTGCATGTTAAATAATTTGCAGAATTAAGGAAGGAAGAAAATCAGTAGTTTAGGGGATAAAAAAACAATACCCAGAATACTAACATTTCTCAATAAATACCAAAATAGAGCAAATATTATTTCACAGTGCTGATTTAGTAATGCAAAACGAAGATTATCTTTTCTGAGAACTTTCCTCCTCAAGGTAATAGGTTTTAATGCCTGTAGGAATGATGAACATTTAGTTGGAAGTTGCCTCGGGGGCCTGAATTATGTGCACAGTTAATTGTATACCATTGGAAGATATTTCTGTCAAACCTACTGGTCAACATAACTAGTGGCCTGTGTGTATCTTGATTTTTAGGATAAAGTCTCCAGGGTTCTGGGATATTCTTTCTTTAGCTGTGCCTACTTCAGATCCTTAATGCTGGAATGGATATAGGAAGGAGACAGGAGAATATGATCAATCTAGGTGCCCCTTTGGGTTCCGATTCTCTTAAATTCCACTTCTTCTCTTGGTGATTTTGTAAAAATGAGTCTTTTTCATAATTCTATCATTAATCCTCAAAGCTCTCCTAGTAGAGGGAAGGGGGTGGCAAATTACTTAGCATCCCAACCTATAAAGTGAGAAAACCGAAAGACTCAAAGAGAAATTACTTTCTAAAACCATGCAATGAAAACTCAGGTTTTCCATCTAGCTTTCTTTCACTTCCTGTATGTGAAGCATGATGTAAAATGTAGGAAGACATGAGGAAGAAAGATGTTTAGGACTCAGTGTCTGCTAACCAAAGAGTAGCGATTGTCTAACAACACTGTGAGAGAAACTGGTGTGCAGACTACAAACTCCCACCCAAATGTGAGCTGTTGCTATTAGTTTATTTATCAAAATTATCACCACTATCTTCTTCATCCTCCTGTATGTGTATAATGGCAGGGTTCTCGGGAATTGAGGAGGAAGAAGAAAAACGATTTCTTGTGTGAGAAAACTAATTCTAAGCAAGTTTTGAGTGAAAGCCATCCTCCTGAGGATTTTTTTAAAGCAATGGTTGGGGAAAGAGTGGGGCAGGTGTATTCAGATGGGGGAGGCAGCGTGCACGATGAGGGGCGAGGGGGAGGACAATGCATAACACTCTCTGATGGCAGCAGGATGTGCCATGATAGCAGATAGGCAGTCGGGGTCGGAATAAAATGTGGGAGGATGGTGGGGGGATCCAGCAGCTGGAAGGCAATGAAGCCCGCGGTCAGATTTTAATGGGATTCAGGAAGCAATAAAGAGTAACTGTAGAATTCTAAGAAAGGAAATATTGTGACAAAGTGACGCTTGGGAAGATGAAGTCCTTTCAAGTGTTTTGAATAGATCATGGACAATTGAAACCAAAAGAGGAAGGAGGTTTTAAGATAGAGCAGTTTCAGGGAAAGAAAGATCTTGCTTTGATCAGCAGTGTGAAGACCGAGACAATGCAAGTCTAGAGAGTGCAGATGGGGTGAGGTATGCTCCAGAAGTGAGGCTCTGCTAGGCGTTAGGTGTGTGGGGACCAAGAAAAAAAAAAAAAGGCTCACGTCGGTCTAAAGTCAGAAAAGACTCTCACTGGGGGCTTGGAGAGAAATACAGACTCCCCCACCCCCTCCCACGGCCCCTGAGATTCAATTGTGTTCGGTAAGACTGGAAAGCAGATTGGCCTGAAAACCGGGCACTTCTAAGATTTTGTCAGCCCCGTCGTCATCGGAAACTGCTGATCACTGGCTTGGGCTCTCCAGTCCTTCCCTCTTTCTGTTGGTGAAGGCTCCACGTGTCCTCCTTGTGGTCCGCCATCACGGGCTGGGGACAGAGCCGTGGGCAGTGACTGTCAGCTTGCCGAGGCATGCGTTTGAGATACTGCTGTTGTGGTCTGCTTTAGAGAATTTCAAATAACAAGTGATTTTAAAAAGACCCTGTTGACGTGGGCCCTGTACTCCTGCTCGGGCCACCTCCTTGCCACTCGGATGGGCCGTACTTGGACATGGAGAGAATGCGTAGTGCCGTCCTTCCGTGGGGCCCGCGGTCCCAACACGAGGTTCTGTGGTTTTCTCTCCCTGCTCTTCCGTGTCGTGGGAAGAAAGAAATTCTAGAGTCCTTTTTAAAAATGTACCTTTTTTATGTATGCTGCTAGCAGCCTCCTCAAACAAGACTCCTTATGCCATCGTAGCATATATTCATTATGAAAACGACTGTTACGGGCGCCTGGGTGGCTCAGTCGGTTAAGCGACTGCCTTCGGCTCAGGTCATGATCCTGGAGTCCCGGGATCGAGTCCCGCATCGGGCTCCCTGCTCTGCG